CTTCTCATTTTTCATGTTTCCAGCTGCTATATGGTATATTATTCTCATCTTTTTAATGTGTATTACTGTTTCGCTCCATTCTTTTTCTTGTTCCAGATGCCCTGACTCTGAGGAATCCATTCTCATCCATATTCATCTTCACAGAGAAACACTGAAACACGTTATGATGGATGTTATGACTCTTTGGTTGCTTGCTCAAAATGTACTGTGCACAAATTACATATTGTGTGCTTTGTTAGGAAGAGTTTTGCTGGCTGTGAAGAGGAAGGCTCGTTGCCTTGTCGCTGCTGCTGCTGCTGTCCTCTAGTTAAGGAAGAAAGTGGGGATTGCTCCCCAGCCAAAGGGTGACCCAGGGGAGCTTCTAGAGGGACACTGATGGCCAGGACAGGAGACAGAGAGGAAAGAGGTAGAAGCAGAGGCTTAGAGGGTAACTCAGGTTGGAAAGGGCCAGGTGTGAGGTCAGACCACAGTGCTCAGGGATTCGTCCATCTTGGGCTCTGCAGTGAAGCCTCTGAAATGATGGAGAGACGGAAAACTGTCCTAGAGTCCTAGAGTGTTACTTCAACTCAGGGAGATAAGCAAAGTTGCTGAACTAGGAAGCGGGGAAGCCCATTTGAAAGAACCCATTAACCCAGAGTGCTTTTAAGACTATGATTGTAACTTTTTAATCTTCTGTATTTTATTTATTTCAAGTGCTACCTTATTCCAGACTGTTGTTTTCATGTTCAAATAAAGCCAAACTTTAGAAAGTGGAAGAATTTCGTGTCTGTTGATGTTTTTAATTCAAAAGAAAGAAGCACACTTTTACCTCATCATCTTGAGCAATGTTGGGTCCTGTTACAAACATGCATTTACCAGACAGGTTATTCCTGATCCAACCAGTACACCTTCAGGTTTACATATGGATATTTGTGTATCTGAGAATTTTGTTCTTTAAACAAACCTCCATCCTGCCCTTGACATTAATGCTGTCATTAGGGAAGGATATTAATTGAACGATCATAATCAGTGCTGAGGACCAGGCACGAACCAGGCTTAAAAGTAAAGCACATCATACACCAGAGAAGTGATGAAGGTATCAAGCAAAGAGCACGAAAAGGGAAACATGGACAGGAGAGCTCTATAGTAAATGTCTCAAGGAGCAAAGGGAAGGAAACTAATTAAGTCTGAGTCTAGGCTAAGAGCAGACAGACCTGGTGCAAAGCTAAGAAAGAGGTAAGCTGAACACACAAGGCCAAAGTACAGAGCACCATTACAATCAAGTAACACAATCAGAAAGCAAGACCAAGTGGTGAGATGCCTACCTGAGACACTGACAAGCCACCAGCTAGCTTCAGAAATCTACCCTCAGAGGTCAGCGTTGGCACAGTTAGTCACATAAATTACTCACTGCAGACAGATACTGGTTTCAGAACTTGCCTGCCCAGGCAATACCTGGCAGGGGCATGCAATTAAAAATCTATGCATAAAAAGGAATGACTTCGGTATCCTGGAAACTTTACAAATACAGTAAAAATGAAAGGGATCACATAATCTTCACATCTAACAGACAGTGTGGCCGGAACAGATATATTAAAATTATTTCACTAAGAATTGACCTGGTACTATCAAAGAGATTTGTAGCTTAGACTAAAATCTTGTAAATAAATCCGTACATGAACAATTTGCTCATTGGAGTAGACCAAGGTGAGTAGATAACACACAGAATTAAAATGCATATGTGCCAAAGCACATCCACACATATGTTCCTCTGTTCAGTACTCATCTGAGTAATTTTAAATGTTATGGCAGCATATAAAAGGACATTACTTTAACTCATTGCTTTTCCAGTGATAAAGTTTCCTGCTATCTAGTATGAGGCAATTATCACCTATAAATTTACATGCATGCCCAGTGCTATTCCACTTGATCAGGCTCCTCATGTAGTTTAAATTAAAGACACTTGCAGCTATGTGCTGGATGGGTGTCTTTAATATCCACTCTTTTAGTCAGGTTTCCTGATGAAGAAGGACTTACGAGATCATACTGTAGTATTCATGCAGACATATGTCTGTCAATCCACACTCTTCTAATAGCTTTTGAACTTGTTGGCCAATTTCAAGCACATCTAACAACGAGGAGCTAGCTTACAGATATTAAGTTTCCATACATCAAATTAAAATAAGCAGTTAAGCAAGGAAAAAGGGATTATTGGAGTTATTGGTATTTCTATCCCCCTCTTCTGCCACTGGTGGAACAGCTGTATCATGAACACTTCATTTAAGTCTACGGAACTCATATGAGAAAGCTATTGTGGATGCTGTCACAAAAAAAAAGCTTCATAATTTGTAGTTTATTAGACATCAGAGAATCCAAGCACACACTATCAATCCATAAGGCCTCAGTAGTTTCTATGCTCATAAGTCTGTGCTGCACATTAAAGCATCACTTGCTAACAGCAAACTTTTCTTTCAAAAAATTACAAATACGAAGAACTTCACCATTGGACTTCAGTTTGTGAAAAATAGTCTCGTCTTGCCCTAAATAAAATCAGAAGTATTTGGTTTAAAGGAAGACAAAAAAGCATGTACTGAAGGAGTGTACTAGCTTCCCCGATTTTTTTGGATGATCAGCTAATACTTCCAGTTTACTTACTGTTTTGAATGCATGGGAACTTTCTGTGTATTTCTTTCCCAGTGTTGACATCATGGAAATTTCACAAAGTTTGACAGCCTGTTAGAAAGCAGTATTCCAAAGGGACCTTCCTCTGGGCCTTTTAGCGTATGGCAGACATTCATAAATAGGACCTGTTTTCTTTGGGTTTTGAGCAAAATCTCTTCTGGACAAATAACGATTTAGCTAACAGCAAAATGACAGAGAAATTCTTTAACCAACTAGGGGATCCTCTTTAGGTCTGTGATGATGCTACTGTAACAGAATTTTAAAAAATTAGTCTGAGGCCATCTTACGATCAAAGACCTCAAAGAACGGAAACTCAGAGACATAAAATCTTTAAGTCTGTAATAGAATTTTTAACAAGAGGTTTAAGAGACTGGTTTGCTTTTCCCTCTCCTCAGATTCCTTATGCACTAGGAATAGTTGAGTTCTGAGCCAAAAAATATCTGAAACAAGTAAGGGAACTTCTCATTTGCTATTTTAGGCATGCTTAAAGAAAAATCACTAGGTATAAGATAATTTATTATTTTTGTAGGGCATTTTTTATAAAAAATGCTCAGGTAATTTGCTCTCTCCCAAGGAACAATCAAGACGACAAACACAACCTCAATTATTTTTAATTTGGTTTACAACTGACTGTATTGTCCTTATCCAAGGCTGGAGCTCAGTTGTAAACTGACACTATTTTTGTAAACTGACATGGGTTCACTAAAAATACTGTACCTGTTCAAGATCTGTCTCACTGACTGTGTTCATGTGAAGTCTTCAGTAATAAGAGGAATGAATGGTATGTAAACAGCACAGTGAATGTACAATGTCACCTTTTAACAGTATCTGTCTTAGCTCAGTTTGCCTTATTTAGGTATGGAATTAGCAATATTCACTGAAGATTGGAAATGTGGCATCCTACACTTCCTGGAGGGGCTCTTGATTTCAGAAAAGAAGATCAAAATAGGAGTTAAAGCTTAGAAAATTTCAAGGAAGAGAAATCTTGACATACCCCATTTCTGCAATTCTTGAGCACTTTCAACTTTACTACCATTTTCACTTCTATAAATTTGGCATAAAATCCCTGTTGCATGATTTTATGTCCATCCATGTCCATTTTACTTTCTTTTTAAGGAGGGAGAAATACACCTGAAGAATCTGCCTGCCCCAATTCATTACTAGTGGCATGAAATTGTGGAAATTAAAGCTGAAGTGAGATTCCACCAGCAGCCTCAGTGATAAGCATTTGAGTATCTGGCGTTTGTGTGGTTTTTTTCAAGCCATTGTTTCTAGTGCTTCAAGAAATAGATTTTTCTTTGGCCTCACAAGACCTAGATTTCATCCATTACATCCTTCTTCTCTTTCTCAGCTTTCTCTAGCAGTTGTTTAAACAGTCTTTGTGTAACATGTACGGAAGTTCATTTTCCTCTTCTAGTTAATAAACATTTTTCAGTGTATTTTCTTCTAGCTTTTGTGATGGTGGCACTACAACACTTTTGTATACATTAATTGAAAATTCTTTGTTAATCTGCATAGAAGTCTGTGTTTTAAACTACAATTCTTCCTTTTGAAATATGGAGAGATATATATATATTGAAACAAAAGAGACATCAGTAGGCAACAGCCATCCTAATCACCAGATGCACATGCACTTAAACAGATTTCAGAGACAGGGTGACTTTTTCAGCTTAGTTGTGGCATCTCAAACTACCGTGCAGAGTATGGGGCAAACCAGTAGCCGTTTTGCCTAGACTGCAAATTTTGCCCATTTCTGGAATAATTTATCTCCCATGTGGTTGCACTTCTGAATTTGCTGCATAGCACTGGGGAGGGGGTGCAGACGGTTCAGGTCCAGATTTCGATTCAGTGTCAGCAGAGCTCAATTTCCAACGCGACGGCACCCAAACCGCGCGGAAGGCCTGTGAAATCTTGCGAACGGCCCCCATGTTTTGTGAGGTACTCGCCACTCTGGGCCAGCGTGCCACAAGAGGCGAGTTTCGTGTACTTCGGGTCCTCCGAGCCCACCGCTTAACGCCTCCCCCGAAGGAAAAAAAAAGGCAAAGCAGCCCCGCAGCCCCGCCGTCACCGGGGAACGCGTTTCTGGGGTTGCCCCCTGAGCCAGGCGGGCGCAGCTCCCCTGGAGGAAACCCGCGGTCTCTTCCCGCGAAACTCGCACACGCCCCGAGCTGCCGTTTCCCGACTCAGCCCCTCAGGTACTTTTCCACCGCCGGGAAGCGCTCGAAGGAACGCCGCGCCCGGGCTGCCGTCCCGCAGCGCCCTGAGGGGGCGGGAAGCGCGGCCGCGGCTGCGGCGCTAGGACCCGGCGGGCGGCGGGCGCGGGCGGCGGCGCATGCGCGGCGGTGTGGCTGCAGCTGGCAGCCGCCGGGCTCGGCGGAGCGCTGCGGCCGGGGGCGGCCGCCGGGACCTTCCCCTCAGCGCTCGCACCGCCGGGCATGGGCGCCGCGGCTTCGCGCCGCGCTGCCTCGCCCCGTCCCCATGAGTCCTAGCCGGAGCAAGTGAGTGAGGGGGGCTCCCGGGCGGTAAGTGGCCGCTGTCCCCCGGCCGCCCTCCCCGGGGCAGCGCGTCCCTCCCGGGCGGGGAGGGTGCCGGCGCCCCTGCTGCCCTGAGCCCCGCTCTGCTCCTGGGGCAGCCGGCGGCTTCTCCCCTTTCCACGGTTTTACTATTTTTGTTAAAAAAAAAAAAAAAAAAACAACAACCCAAAACCCCAAAAAACCGCGCCCATCAGTAGCTGCGGGAGTGGCGGGCGGGACGGGAGGAGAAGGGAGGCTGTCGTGGGGCGGGCGGCCGGTGGGCGCTGCGGGGGGTTCACCTCCCCGCCTTGCTCGGCCGCTCCCGCCCGGGCTCGGCTCCGCCGCCTCCACCTGCGCGCTGGTTCCTCGGCAAGGGGGGACTCGCCCGGCCCCTCTCCGCCTCTTCCCCTGCAGGGCGCTGGCGGCCCGGCCTCGGGAGGGAGGATGTGGTGAGAGGATGGGGCTGTCTCCCGCGGGGGCTCGCCATGGCCAGGGAGGACTCGGTGAAGTGCCTGCGCTGCCTGCTCTACGCCCTCAACCTCCTCTTCTGGGTGAGTGGGGCGACGCGGAGCGGGCCGGGCCGGGCCGGGCCGGGCTCCTGCCGCTGCCCGAGCAGGTGGCGGGCCGGGTAGCGAGGAGTGCGGCGGGCACGGCCGCCTCCGACCGCGGGGCTCCCCGCGCTTGGCGGGGGGCGAGCAGTTGCCCGCCTCGCTGCCCGTGGCGTTCGGCCCGTGCCAGGCGGGTCCTATAAGGGAATACTGATCACTGGGGAGAAAGAAAAAAAAAAAAACAAAAACAAAACCAAAACAACCCTGTGGAAACGAGTTGGAAGTAAAATTAGATTTGGTATTCACCTAGTGTTATAAATACATGTGTGAATTTGTGCACCTATATCGTGTAGAGAGGGAAATACTCACCGGTCCTGACTGCATGATTTTCAGAGCATCCTGTGACCCGAGCTGAACTCCAAGCTCTGGCAGGTATCGCAGCAGTCAGCTGCTCTGTGAAGGCCTTGAGCAGGGTCTTTTTTGTGCTTTCAGTGGCCGCATCCTAACGGACAGGCAAGGTCTGAAGGGATTTCTTTATTTTGTTTTCAGCATTTTAGTCAAAACTGTATTTATAGCCGCAGGGTTTCTTGCTCTCCAGTGTAAGTAGGTGTGATCAGCACTTGCTCCTAAACTTTCATAGCTCTGGACAAACAGCGTGATGGAGATTGCTCAGAGTCCTCACTCACTTACACCAAATGAAATCAGTTTCACCTGAATCGTTAAGATTTATGCTGGATAACTGTAAGAGAATGTAAGGGCAAAAGGTGTGACATCTCACAGTTCTTTGCAATGGCTGAGTCCTGAGGTGCTGTAGACTTGAATGCTGCAGGGGTAATATGTGGGCTGGGACAAAGCTTAGTTTATGATGAAATTGAGATAAAGTCCCATGATTACTAAAAATTAAGTGGAGATCATAATATGAATGAGAGGGAAACTTGTTGAACAGCATTTGGTACAGAATAGTACTTCTTATATAGTGCAAATAATCTGAAAACCTGTTGACAGTATGTAGCTTCGTATATTATGTTTAATAGGGGTGAAAAATAAGTTATTTGTGCAGTCTATGTAAGAATAAAGCTCTTTAATAGGAAATGAGGAAATCTTTTTTTTTTTCTTTTTTTAATAAGATGTGTAATTGTTTGTCACATCATGTATGGTTTTCATTCGATACTGTATAAAACCTAAAAAGCTATATTTTCTTTTAAGATTAAAGTTGCCTGGGTTCAGCTGACCTGAGTTCAACTTTGGATTTTCACACATGTGCTGTTAGAGTTGAGTGAACAGACATCCACATGGTTGAAAATGTCCTGTCCTGGTGTTCACCTGTTTGCTGCTTGCCTCTGGTTTCCATGATTCCTGCCTTGACCTGTCCTCATCAGTTGCCATTCACACCTTAACTCGCCGCTGTCTTTGTCTCCTTAAACTTATTCGGCTCTTTTCCCTTTCCCTCCGTGCTTGTTGCCTGCTGTGTCCCAACAGATTTGTTATTCAGCGACAGCTTTTTAGAGTTGAAGTAGCTGTTTAGGTGGTACCCAGGTTACAGATGAGGTTATACCCTCATACTGTGCCAGTTGATCTATTGTGTGGTGATGGGGGACTTGATGCTGGAGCCAAGTGCTTCTTTTACCAGTCTTGAGATGCCTTCTTTGTGTAGGAAAGCCTGCCCTTATTTTTGGAGGGAGCTAGTGCCTGCCTTGTGTTGCAGTTCCTCTCTAGGGAGATCAAGGTCTCACCTGGGAGATTTAAATGTGTCTGCCCTCTTTGCTCAAATTTTAAGTTAATTTCCATGTCAGATCGCTCTTTCCTACTTTTCATTGTTTCGTTCATGTGTTTTTCTGGTGTGGAGCTACACAGTACCTTAGAGCTTAGCAGTAGAATAGCACTAACTACATCTATAATGCGGCGCTGCTGTTAACTTTGCCTATTCTTAATTCATGTCTGGATTTAGATTAAAGAATTCATGGCTAGAAATAATTTCTGATTCTTTAGGTTTTGTTGCCCTTTAAATAACGATGTCTCTGATCACCCTCAATGAGAAAATGTGAGGGGTTTTTTATATATATATATATTTTCCCCCCTAGTCATACAGGAAAAAGGTTCTTTTGAGTCTGGTATGGTATGACAAATCACAAATCCTAGGGAAGAAAATGGTAACTTCTCATGCTTGTCTCCAAAATATAAAAAATGTCTGTAATTAACCTTCCTAGCTGAGGCCAGTACATTGGAAATTACACCCAAGCAACTAAGGGAAATCTATACAGTACTGAAGCACATGAATATGTAATTAAATAATAAATGCCAGTATAGCAGATGACTTGCACCACAGATGTTGCAAAGAATTAAATCTGTCTTCCATAATGTATATAAAATTAAATGTGTTAGAACTTCAAATGGACTGACCAATTTTTTGTTTAAGTTCTCTGCATTTTACAAAGCAGACAAATGCAACAGTTTAGTTGAAAACAAATAAATAAGCAAAAAAAGCTCGAGTCTGCCAGAACTGTGTGGTAAGAAGTAGGATACGTGGTGGGTGGGTAGTTAAATGTATTGCAGTTACATCAGACTTCTTTGGAGGAATCTGTGTATAAAAAAAAACCAAACCAAAAAACCTCTCTTGTCTAGTTCCTATCTGGTCCTGTTCAGATGTGTATTTAACAGCTAAATACAAATCTGCTACTAGCTACTTGGTATAGTAAAATCTGCCATATCTCCTCTGTCAGAGCTTGAATTTTCTGCTGTTGGGCTCATTTTGAGTTTTGCTGCTGCCTTTTCTGAGTGTGAGAGCATGACCCTTGGGACAGAGTTGTCTTGTACAAAGTTCCCCTGGCAGTAGGTACTTACCCACTGGAGCGGGCATGGGGGCTGTGATTTCCCCTTGCCGCCACTCTTCCTTCCGTTTGGAAAGCTTTAGCTTGCCTGTTGCTTATGTTAGTGCTTTCTTGGATAAATACCAACTCAGGTTATGGGCTGGATGTCAGGAAGTTTAGATTAGATCAGCCCCTTGAAAATGTGCAGTCGTGTTTCTCCTGAGCACAGTGGGTTCTGTCCCAGTGGGTAAAGGGAAGAGCGATGCCATGATTCCAGGGTCTGTACAGACCTCCTAGTTTGGGATGTGTATGTGTGGTTCTCTTTGAGCCCGATCCTGGAGGGTTTTACCTATTCTCTTGTTTTCTTTCCATCCCAAGGGTCATTGCCTTCAGGTGACTTCAAGCCTGTTGATAATGTGCCCAGTGGCTGTGTTGGTTATCAGGGTTTGGCTGAAAACAGTGACAATGTGCAAACAGCATGTGTTGACTATTTAAAGTCATGGTTTGATTGAGGGTCCTGGCTGGAATAAGGTGACATTCTTTCCTTGTTTCACTGTAGTGGTGTCCAGAAGAAGGTCTAACCACACATTGTGCAAAAATGATTGCTTTCTCCAAGCTGGGGGCTTGAAGCTTTTCAAGGCCTGCAAGAGCCAGTAGTCACTGACTGTAACAGTCTGATTGTCAGCCTCGTAGAAGGGAACATCTAAAGCATGCTTCAAGCATGTCCTGTGTGCAACTGTCCCAGTGTGTGTATGATGAGACTCCAGCATTTGTCATTGCCAGCCTGGTGAGGTCAGACTAGTGCATGTGAAGCTCCTCAAGATGGTGTTACGCATAACAGAACTTGTTAATCAGACCATCAGTGTTGCTGAAAAACTTAAGATGCAGATGATTGCTGCAACACACCAGTGTCTTCATAATTTGGTTGCTATCAAAGACTACAGAATCAGAGAAGTGAGAGTGCCTTATCAGTCACTTTGCTGCCATACGTGTAGCTTCTCCAGAGCATTGCTTATAAGTGTACAGCTGCGTGCTGTCTATTTGTAAAGAAACCTCTTTTACTGGGCTCAGCTGATGAGCTGTGATGTGGAACGGTAGACTGTGATATACCTGTATGCTCATGAGAGAGGCAGGCCATGTTGTTTGTTATGCTTTTTGTCATTTTTGGCCTGAAGGCTACTTAGCTGTAAATAATTAATAAGCAATCAGCTGGAAGCCCAAGGCTCTGTGTAAGTGGTTCATCCTGTTTTGATAATGGACCAGTAAATGCACTGCATTTAGTGCTCCGGAAAAACACTGGTTTGTGGATGTGAATGGATTGATACTTCTGGAGCTGCAACTTGCAGCAGATCTTGAAAGGTGTTTTCTTCTGAGGTGGGAATAAATCTGTTGTCACTGCTCTAATTGTTGTTAAGTGACTGGCTGTGGTAATAGACCTGATGATACTCTCCTGGAAGCTGTTTCCAAGGTCAGTTGAATCATAAATGTGACTGTAAGACGTCTCTTTCAGAGCAATGGGAGTTGCAGTTTCAGGACCTCCTTGGTCTTCTAATTTCATAAGGGTTTTTATGACAGTGCCCTGGACAAGGAATGTTCTTCAGACTAAACCCTGCAGCTAACATTTGCTTTCTTTCTTCTGCCATCCTCATGTATAAATGAGCATCTCTTCTTAAAGGAATTTATGAGACTGAGACCCAACTTGATTTCTGCAGGTTTCTCATCTTACACTCTGTAACACTGTTACTTGCAGCATATTGTGTTCTGGACAGCCAAATAAAAAGAGAAGACCTCCAGAAATGCACAATTTGGTGTTTTGTAGTCAAGATTTAGTGTTTAACTAAGCAGATTATTGTAGTGGTGCTTGAGAGAAGACATGCTCTTATCGCTTCCTATTTTTCTGTTCTTAGTGGCAATACCGTTCTTTATTATTTCTAGATAGCATGTGTTAGGACTTGGAGAAATTTAGTTCTGATAGTTCTATAAACATATTTTATGTAGTTTATGAGACTACAGGGTCTGCTCGTCTGGTGGGGCTTTTCTGTATCTGCCAAGCTCCTGACACTGTTCCAGCTCAGTAGTGGTCATAGATGTAACATGAGCATCTTCATTCATTTTGAGCACTGTATAACTTGTCCTCGCAGAAATCCTTCTCATCACATTTTGCAATGTTGCCATTGTTCTTCTGTACTTTGCTTC